ATTTTGTGCTCCAACAAAAGACTACTATGGCAAAGATAACACTTAGGAAGTGTAACGCTTCGTGCGCAAAAAGATGCTCAACAGTAAGTAAATTTTCAATAGTGCTTACTCTAACACAGTCATGATGATTAATATGAGTTACAATTGCAAAAAGCTGCAGTCATTCACAAAGTTCACACGTCCTGCCTGATGCTAGCTAATGAGTGCGAGTGGAAAACTATGAGGCAAAGATAGGAGCAGCGGGCCAACATCATTTTGACTAGGGGGGAGATAAATCAGTCTGGGGGAAGTGAACTTCTAACCCCAAATTCCGAAATGATTTTTAACTGCAGCTGATATTTGCGTAATAACTGGCATTTGACAGCAAATTCATGAAGGCTAATGAGACTTTTCTGCAACTCATCGGGGCCCTTGAAGGACCCAGCTTCACAGTATGTAAAGGTGATCAACTGTTGTGCTGTTTTAGTTTCCCTCCTCTTGACTCTCACTATGGAATGGAGCAGGTTTGATCTCTTTTCTGTTCAGTAAAGACCAAACGAGAACAAATCAAAGAGAAGCGTTAGAGTATGAACATGCTCTTTTTAATGACCATTCAAAGGCACATAATGAATACCAGTGAAAAATGATGGATTTTATTCAAGTACAAAAGCATACTTATTTGGTAATATTACTTCCCATTGTTTAAGACTTCCATTTCACATAGACTTTCTCTTAGTCCTTGTCTGTTTTCTACTTACAAACTTAATGTGATGCTTGTGTTACAGTACTGGTATAAAAACTCTGCTTACAAAGTCAGTGTGAGTGCCAGCCTGGAAGCTCTGCAGTGCAGAAGACAGTGCCTCATGAAGGCTTGTGTTGCCTCCAAACAGCTACGGTGCCTCTTTTGTGCTATTTGGAGGGCCTGTTGCCCCTTCTCTATTCAGGGCTTTCACACCAGTCTCACTCACTTCTCACTCCCTGGGTTCCTCCTCACAGGTCATAAATTAAGCGGAGGGTGGGGAGGCTTGAGATCATAAGAAAAAGATCAGTCAGGCCCTTATTTCAGTTAGTTTTTTTTAAATCACATATTTTGTGATAAATAGTACAGAAATAGTCAAAGCTTAAAAAGCAACAGTAAGAAGCAAGTCTGCAGCTCAGAGGGCAATTCTCTGATGTAAAAACAAGTATGTGGATTTGTGATTTAAGATGGAGCAGTTTAAGTTTATTCACTTGGGGCCACACTGCTGTTGACACTATATGTTATTTTAATGAGCGTTGCCGTGTAGTGGTTAATGTGGCCACAGTTCATGGCTCAGAGGTGCATATGTGTGTGTTCAGAGATGAGTTTGTGGGGAATGGGGTCACAATGTGGTTATAGTGACAAGCGCTGGGAGAGCTCATACCTCCTTTCCTGTCAAAATAAAGCCTACTTGAGGTGAATGAGGCTGGCAGCAATAGCTTTTATTGTCCTTCATGTGTTCAGATGGAGTTCATTCTCATTGTCAATAGTGATTTTTTTAATGCATCATGATGGACATATTGTTCAGTAAGGTTGCCATAATCAACACAGCAGTGCATACTGTGACAATGACTTAATGACATGAATAGGGAAAATATTGCACAGTTCAGTGGCTTGTATTGTGCTATTATCCCTTTGTAACACAGAAAGATCAAAATTATGAAATATCATGTGACACATGTGGGATCTATTCAGGGATACTACAAAACTCCCATTGAAAAACGGTTAAATGGCTTTGCATGAGGCTGTGTTCGGAACCATATGGACGCCTCCACATCTCCTCATTTCATACATGTTTCTTTTGACATCAATAATGCCTCGGTATCCAGTGGTGTTTGGAACGCATCCAAAACAATTATAAAGTTGCCGTGGAAACTGAGGTCCTGTGCCAGGGTGAGGCATACTGTCTCTGCTCAGATAACCGCATGGAAAGTCACAGCAAACAAAGCACTTGACAGGGGTGCAGAAATGGGAGAAATAAAAAGAGCGAGGGAGGTGAGGGATGGGCAGAGGTGAAGAGACAGAGACAGGGATAACAAAAGCAGTGATTGTGGCAAATTTGGACATCCACAAATGATGGAAAGATACAAAATATATTTGCATTTTTTGTGTCGGGGGAGTGAATAATTGAGTAGGAGAAAACCCTTGTGTTGCAAAAATTTCCAAGATATTCTTCAACATTACATGAAAAAGTCCGACTTAGAGTAGACTGAGAATGAGTGTTGTGTTGCGGCTTGGTTAAGTTTGGACAGGTAACACTATGTGCCTGTGTGTGTGTTTGTGTGTACACAAATGAAGATTATCACGGCAAACTAACACACAACCCCTCAGTGACACATGCAATTTTGTGTGCGGAATACTGGGACTAGAGTAATGTATTGTAACCTTATGCTAACCTAATGAACAAGCGGTTGAAAGCGGTGTAATGGAAGCATTTTTACATTCATCTTTAGGCTCCTCATTATGCGCTGAATATGACAGCCTCGTTAGGAGTGCACAAAAGATTACCCATGCGGGTAAAGAGCACCACCTTCACAGACACATGCAACCCCCCCCCCAAAAAAAACCACAAACACAGAAAAATTGGATAACAGGTAGGAATGTAGAGCGTAGACAGCATACAATTGGCGCATACACGCACACTCAGAGAAACACACACACAAATACAAGCCCCTGGTGGGAGTAACTTGGCTCTTGGAGTCAGAAAGACAATATGACTGGCTTTCAGAGACCCCTGACTGTCCAGTCTGTTTATTCAGATGAGAGAGGAGAAGGCCACCATTTCAAAGTCATTGCTTTACTTTGTTTTGATCTCACTGATGAAAAACAGAAGTTTCAGAGCTCTTGTTGGGAGTCAGGATGATAAAATTGGCACATAATGCTACAAACATTTCAATTTTTTTTCACGTCATATAATGTGCATTCGCTTAATTAAACAGATACCAAAAACTGTAAAAATGTGTAGCTATTGTAAAAATATAAGCAGATATTTATGCTTTATTCAAACCATTTTTTAATTTGTAAAGCAGAAAAAAACTACATGGTATAGGACGTGTTTTCTAGACTATTTGAGGTCACTATAAGCAATCGGTGTAACATGAATCAATTAAAACGTGCTTTTAGTTGACTGTGCCTGAAGTGTCAGCAGATCTGTGTGCAAGTTATCATTTGTTCTCATTAGTGTTTCTTGGAGAAATCAGTAGTGCTTGAGCAAATCAGGTAATTTGTATCCGCAAATAAGGATACTCGACCCAACAATATGCTGCCATTTGTAACAGAGCAGCATAGTGTGTTTGTGTGTCTGTATCTGTTTGTGAGTGTTCTGTTTTACAATGAAAAGGCAAATTCTGTATTAGTCTTAGTAATGACCATGGGGCCGAGCATCATTAGCTCAACACTGCTCTCCAGTGGAAACAAGGTAAAATAGAATAACACAAAGTGTACATCAGTTGTTCCCTTTTCAGATTCAGTTGAAATGTGTAATAGCATGAATTACTTTCAGAGGTGGAAAGTAACTAATTACATTTACTCAAGTGCTGTGCTTAAGTACAATTTTGAGGTATCTGTAGGTGAGTAGTTTCATTTTCTGCTACTTCATACTTTGACTTCACTACATTTCAGAGAAAAATATTGTACTTTGTACTCACTGCATCTATTTGATAACTTTTGTTACTAGTTACTTTTCAGAATGAGATTTATAAAAACAAAATACAGTATAATCATCAGATGTTATAGATCCTTAGTGGAAATTTCACAAGCTATCCAGCTTCATATGCTATGTACTTAGCATATGAAATATTTAAATTCCCTCCTCTTTCACCAGCTGCAACATTAAAGTGATGAACACAATAATGCATCAGTAATTATAATCCAATAGTCTGATATACATTAATGTCAATGGTGCCATTCTACATAATGAGTCATTGTACTTTTTGTACTTTAAGTATATTTTGATGCTAATACTTTCTACTTTTATTTAAGTAACATTTTGAAAGTAGGACTTTTATTGTAACTACCTTTACTTGAGTAAAAAAAAAATAATAATCACAGTACTTCTTCCACTACTTTTTATTTTAACTAACTACTAACAATTTCTTATAAAAAAGTACATGTCAGTAGGTAATGCTGCACATGGCTGAAAGACCTGGCTCTGAAAGATGAAATCAAGCAGTCATCAAAGTACTACAACAAAATCTGGCCAGAGTGAATTTTCATATCAAATGTATTTTCTTAGAATATATGCAGAAAAAGACAAAAAGCATTCCATATCAGCAGTAATGACAAAACAATGACATCAGCAACACCCATCTATATTATGTCAAAATGACTCCCATGAAAGTCTTTTAAAATGTTCTGATGAGTATGAACTTTATCTGTGCAAAAGCGTATCCAGAGAACTTTTGCCTTCATGTCTGAATTGACTGTGTAAGCCACCGAGTCACATGGAATAAAGCTTTGTGGTTACAGCTGTTAAATATTACTCTACCACTGAAAAAACTAATGTACAGTGTCTGTCATAACATGCAATTTGCAGAATACAGTAGCTATAACAAGATAACTGCTTGATATGTGATAGTGTAAATACAGTTTTAACAGGAGATGGAAGCACAGCATGCATCCGTCAGTCCTTATGTACTGTATATCACATCATCATACACATATTTTATTATTTAGAAACATTTTTGTTTTATTTTTTTAAACATTCTAATAAAACACACTGACTCTTATTCTGACTGTTTCAGTGGGTATTTGGAATATTTGCGTGAACATGTGTATTTGGAGTACACACATATATACATACCAGAAAAATTTACAAGATTAAGTGAAATTAGGTGAAGTGACCTATTCCATCTATACAGCAGACTGTTTCATTGCGCTTGTGACTTGACCTAAATTGATATTCAATATCTTTTCTATTTCATGTCGTTCTGGAGGAATTAATTTGAGTCTAATATGTTATGTTTTACTTGCCTGCCTCCTCATTGGCCCATAAAGATGTGACGTAGGATGTCGTCGACCAGTGAGATTAGAGCTTCATTCCGTAGCCTTGGTTCCGGAGTGGCCTGTTAAGTAGCAGATAAAATATCGGTGAGTATTCCTGAATCTGAGGTAACGCTGTCTCCCTCAAGCTAATACATATATATATCACGACAGACTTTCCTGTTGGCGATATCTCGTTGCTTTTAACCATTTGCTGACTCGTGTGAATGAAAAAGTAACCAGAAAAAAAAAACCTCGGCGTGCGCTCTGTTTAGCAACTGACGAAATATTCATAGGCAGCAAACAATCACACATTTAACACAATCGGTCACTGAGATCTGCTCTAAAATGAGCTGCAGTTTAGATGCGACGAGTTTAGGTCTGTTTACGTCTAAACAAATGGAGTGGGGCTTTTTTCTGCAGGTGGTCTTCACGTCATGAAGCCCGTCACTTCCAGATACAAACAAGATTATCCACTGTACATCGCCCACCATGGTCTGCAGCAGCCTGTGTGACGCGCTGGTCGCCGTTCGCTAATAATAAAGGCAAATGCGGTAGCCTAGAATAAACAGGACAGCTGCGCTCTTGTATGTCTAATTAACTCGATAACGATACACAGACAGATATATGTAAAAATAAAACACATCTGTCCATCTGTTGCTATTTATTTAGGCTTGTTTATGAATGTTACCTACATAAACACAAGGTGGCGCTGTACATCAGTTTAAAACATTTTCATTCATCAACAGGTCTCCCTTCAGTCTGACAAAATGAATATGTTTCCTGTGCCCAGCCCGGGAATCCCAGGCTGTCCACCTGGATTAGAATATCTGACTCAAGTAAGTATCCATGTAAACTTTCTTTTTTTTTCTTATGTCATATGTCACTTAGTACACTGAGCCAACTTGCATTTTACCTGCTAATTTGCTAGCCAAGGAAATAATAAGTGTCAGGTTACCTTCTTTCACATCAGCTTGCTCAGGGTACTATATTCAAGTCAATTCAAATTTGTTAGTATTGCGCCAAATCAAAAACTATTAAGTGTTCAGTTTCCATGCCATATGTCGGAACTAGATCAACAGTGTGATTACAGCAGTGACTGGGTTTATTTACAATTTAAGAAAAAACAATTCAGTCCAATAATAAATTAAATGCACTGTTGAGGCTGTCATTGTCAACATCTATATGAATATTAAAGTCACCCACTATGATTATTTTATCTGTACTAAGCACTAAATCAGACAGAAAGTCTGAGAATTCACTTAAAAACTCTGAATAAGGAGCAGGTGGACGGTATACAATAACAAACAGAACAGGCTTTTGAGTTTTCCAGTTTGGGTGTGAGAGACTCAGGGTGAGACTTTCAAATGAGTTATAACTATGTTTAGGTCTAGGGTTGATTAATAGGCTTGAGTCAAAGATCGCTGCCAAGCCACCACCTCGGCCTGTGTTTCGAGGGATGTGACAGTTACTGTGACCAGGTGGAGTGGATTCATTTAGGCTGACATATTCTTCCTGCTGTAACCATGTTTCAGTAAGACACAATAAGTCAATGTGATGTTCACTTATCAAATCATTCACTAACAGAGATTTAGATGAGAGAGATCTGATATTTAATAGTCCACATTTGATTGCCCTATTACTTTCTACTAAAAGAGGAGTCATCTTAATTTTAATTAGGTTCTTATGAATAACTCCTCTGGAGTTGATTCTTGATTTATATAATTTAGGTGGGCGGGGGGCAGACACAGTCTCTATGGGGTACTGGGAGCGTTGGGTGGGTAGCAGCTGCAAGGAGACAGCAGAGAGGCGTGTAAGACTGCGACCCTGCATCCTGGACTCAACTCTGGGTTGTCATAATTTAGGTTGTAAAACAAACTCGTCCAGATTTCTAGATAAGAGAGCCGCACCACCCAAAGTGGGATGGATGCCAACTCTACTAATCAGACCAGGTTTTCCCCAAAATATTTTCCAGTTGTCTATGAAGCCCACGTTATTTTCTGGGCACCACCTAGACAGCCAGCGGTTGAATGATGACATGCGGCTAAACATGTCATCACTGGTCACATTGGGTAGGGGTCCAGAGAAAACTACAGAGTCCGACAAAGTTACACATTAATTTTAGTGACCTCAGACTTGTAAAGTCAGGAGTCATTAGCACTGACATGAATAACAACCTTACCATATTTACACGCATCCTTAGTCAGCAGCTCCAAACAGGACTCCATGTCGTCCGCTCTGGCCCCAGGAATACGTTTAACTATGGCTGCCAGTGTTTATAACTTAACGTTTCTGACTATGGAGTCTCCAATTACCAGAGTTGTTTTCTCAGCGGGTGTGTGGCTGAGTGGGGAAAATCAATTTGAAACGTGAACAGGCAGGTGATGCACCGTTGGCATTCGCTTCGAGCTACGACTCTTGCGAACTGTCACCCAGCCACCTCGCTGAGCTCCTGGCTGCTAGGGAAGCACTGGGGGGCAGCTAGCCATGGCTAAGCTATGTCTAGGATCCTCTGTACCAACTACATGGGCATGCTTAGCTGGGTTGTTCTCTATGGTGCGCAGCGCCACCTCCAATGCTGATAGCATCTGACATTTATTACAAGTACCATTATTGCTGAAAGAGGCAGAGGAATAACTGAACATGCAACACTCCGAGCAACAGAAAGGAGAGGAAGAGGGATAAGCCATTGCTCTCTACTCAGCTACTACCTTAGGTAGCTTCTAAGCTAGCAAAGCTACTAGCTTAGCTAGCTGACCTAAAGTAGCAAGTTAAACTAGGTAATTAGCAAGAACTTCTGTAACACAGGTGCTTAAGTAGTACAGGTATGTCGTTAACTCAAAAATTCAGATAAACCTAGAGAATAGTTAGCTTAGTCCGTAAACAATCTGGTAGCAAGCACAATATGACACAAGTACAAGAAACAGGAAACAGGAAGTGAGTACGATTACCTCAGGAACAGGAAACAGCAGTCCAGGCTACTCAGTTCCAGCCTGCCAGCATCACCGGTCAAAACATCAGCACAGTAGAAACTGAAAGAGAAAAAGGAGGGAATAACAGGATTACATTTTGCCCCCATATCCATTCGATGGTAACTTCCTTTTTAGATGAGTACATTCTATATATATCACTATGAAATGCTGTTAATTTATCACTGCTATTTTTCATCTTAATTTTACTTAAGTAGTGTATTTCCTCAAACTTATGTTTTTCACACCGTACATGTGAAGAGTGGGAGGTATAGCAACCACTGATAACCTTGAAGAGTGGGAGGTATAGCAACCACTGATAACCTTGTGTGTCACAGTTGGAAAAGCTATGTGTTATAAATAAAGAATTAATTAAAATTAAAAGTACTCATTATACAGAATGGCACATTTAACATTAATGTATATCACCTTATTGGATTACTGATGTATTGCCATGTACATCACATTTAATGTTGCAGCTGGTAAAGGGGGCGCTAGTTTTAAGTAGCTTATATGCTTATATTTTGAGGCACTTTACATTCTGCTGGGTAGCTTGTGAATTTTACAGTGAAGCTCAATAAAGTCGTATGATTGTACAGGAGTAGATGATTATGCATATTGATGTTGTATGTCAATATGTACAAATAATTGTCAGGTCAAAAAATGAGGTTGTGCTGAAGAAAATTATACCAAATACTGACATTAAACATATGTTCTTGTGCTATTAAAAATCATACTTCAACACATTAATCAGGTTCAGAAAAGTAACTAGTAAATACATTTCTAAAAATAAAAGTAGTGAAGTAAAATGTACATTATTTGCCTCTACAGTGAAATAAAAGTATGAAGTAGCACAAAATAAAAATAACTACAAATTCCTCATAATTGCACTTAAGTACATGAGTAATTGTATTTAGTTACTTCAACTGCTGCTCATGATGAATATGATATTAGTAATATTAGCATGTATGAAATCCTGCAGCTTCCTCAAAGTATACTGGACACTTAGATATAGGAATTGTATCAGCTATCCTTGTGCTTTTCCTACTATAGCAAGCCAAAATGTCAGCTGTGAAAAGGGCCTATGGGAAGTGAGCTGATGATACTGTAAGTTGATGGTGCTGACCTTTTCCACTCAGCAGATTAAGAGCCCAAAAGCTGTTTGTTGCACACCAGAGTCTGCGCTGGAGCATTTATAAACCTTAGTGGGGCTTGAGAAGTATCTTAAAATGTCCAGCAGAAAACAATTTACAGGTCAAATGAAAACGTTGTGACATCATTGCACTACATCGCTGAACTACTCTGATGCAACAGCTCAGAGGCCCATGCAAGAATGTGGTTTTACTGGTCAGATGCAAAATGTTAGCATGTTTATGGCTACTCCACATAACTAGAGCAATTAAAAGACATAAGTGAATAGATTTTAATCCAGTGTACTGTATATGCTTATCTGTTTATTCTAGGTGGATCAGCTACTCATCAAACAGAAAGTGGAGCTTGTTGAAGGTACAGTAAGGAAATACGCCTTCTGCTGCTAATTTTCTGCACAAGTGTGTTTAACAAAAGCCAATTATGATATATTTTTCATCCCCACAGCTCTTGTTGGTTTTGAAAGCAACAACAAGTATGAGGTCCGGAACTCCATGGGTCAGAATGTGTTCTACGCCGTTGAGGAGAATGACTGTTTGAGTCGCCAGTGTTGCGGTCCCATGCGCTCCTTCACCATCCATATTCTCAACAATTTCGGACAAGAGGTTATCACCATCATCAGACCACTTAAGTGCATGTCTTGCTTCTTTCCTTGTTGTTTACAAGAGGTGGGTGGAATCACTTTTAGATGTGCTCACTTTGAAATTACAATGTTTTAAGGAGGCCTCTGTTCACCATACTGTTCACAGCTCACATCTTCTAATTTTGCATGTATTTTTAAAACTGTTTCTTCTGAGGACACGGCTACAGTTCACGCTGTTTTCACAATCTCCCACTCAGCTGGAGGTGCAGGCTCCCCCTGGTAACATAGTGGGCTACATTATACAACAGTGGCATCCATTGTCCCCAAAATTCATCGTTGCGAATGAGCACAATGAGCCTGTACTGAAGATCCATGGGCCCTTCTGTGGATGGAGCTGCCTTCCAGATGTTGACTTTGAGGTGGTTTTTATTTTAACACAGAAACCCATTAAATTTGTGAAGCTATAACATGACATAGTAATGTTAACACCCCCAGTTTTTTGTTTTTTTTTTGTAAGGGATCCTTCTCATGCTCTGAAGCCAGAAATATGTTTCCAATCAGAGCAGGCTGTAGCTTGGATGCAGCGTTTGTACAGGGAATGCTCCTGTGTGGTACAGTGTGGCCATTGTTTCACAGCTCAGTTGGTTTTATTGGACTGAGCTGTGAAGGGATTTGGGTCAGTGATAAAGACCTTTTACCAGAACCCAGAGAAAAGGCAACTGAAGCATTACATTACCATTTCAGTTCCTCTCTAACTGCTTTGAAGTCGTTATTGAGGTTACAAAACTTAAGTTGCTGTGGCAGCAGAAAAAAAAGCTGCAGTTCGATGAGACTGTGAATTGTTCCGTGATCTCCGTCCAATAAAACCAAACAACTTTAGGGTTTGATCTTTATCCTAATGCAACACGTGTCAGCAGCTTTTCTTGTCTTTAACTCTTTCCTCAGATACTGACGATGGATGAAGTCAGTAAGATTGGAAAAATTAGTAAGCAGTGGACAGGACTTCTGCGGGAAGCATTCACCGATGCAGACAACTTTGGTATCCAGTTCCCTATGGATCTGGATGTGAGAATGAAGGCTGTAATGATCGGCGCATGTTTTCTCATTGTAAGTGCAATAATTAGCATTTTAATATAACTCATAGCCCTCAGCTTGCTCAAAAAGTAACATCCTGTAAAGTTCCATTTAGGATTCTCACACAGCACATTAACTGTTGCCAGAATGTGGCCATTACAGATGCGGTAACCTCATGTCCCTCTTCACTAGTATTTGGAAATGTGCCTGCCACTTAATGCACCACTTAGACTACAGTTTGTGGGAAATGTGACCTCCAACCACCCCAGTTTCTGCAAATGCAGAACAGCTTGTCAGAGCCACTTTCTACAGTAGTGAAAGTTACATCTGTTAAAACAGCGAAACTCTCTGCATGTTTTCAGCGATATAGCAGCGACATATCAGTGAATAAATTATACGCCTTGGCTGATATGTTTAACTGCAGTTAGGCAGTAGATCAAAGTTACTTTATCACCTCTGCTTTTCTGTTAATACTTTTTTGTTTCTGTACAGGATTTCATGTACTTTGAGGCTACTAACTAGGATTCCAGCTGGATTTCCATGAAACAAGCAACATTCTTTGAAGTACAAGGCCACAAAGCCATGATGATGAGTCCCAAATGCCCTAATACAGAACAATCTACCTTCATTATTCTAGCCAAACAAAATGGGTAGATTAATGAAAGTACCAAAAGGCACATAAATGTTATAATTTTGCATGAGCAATGAAATAGAAGGTTTGTTGTAGTCTTACCTGCTCAGGTTGGTTGTTAAAACACACTACTGGGCTGTGGTCACACAGTGCAGTGTTTTTACATAGTGTTGGTGTGGAAAGGTTTCATTTGTGTTTGCATTATGGTTGCTGAGCGTATGTGGGCCCAGAATCATTAGTTTCTACTATAAAAACTTGAATAGACCTTCATATACAAGCAAATTAAAATGGAACACAGTTAAAAGGCAGATGCTGTTATACAGTTTGTGAAAGACAGATTGGTGTCATGGTCTGGATGCAAAGGTGGTCAGGCCAAGATGTTACTGTATATACAACAGTAGGCTTGTAGCTATACTGTGTGAGCACTGAAAGATTTGGGTAATGTAGTAATTTGTAGTTCAGATATTAAATTCCCCTGTTTATTGAGTTAGATTTTGGTCTACCGGTATTTAACAATTTGCCCACATAGAGCAATATGGGTGCACTGCTTTGTGTGTGTGTTTGTGTGTTATGAGTGCACTTGCGTGTGTTTTACTGGAAACATAAGCTATCATAGGATACAAAGCAATGTTTTTATTGCCTTTATAGCAATGCAGTGTGAACTGTGTAGATTTGGAAACTGATGGGTTACAGCCTGATGCACTGGCTCAGTCTGGACCACAAGAGGGAGCCAGGTTTTCATTTAAGAATAACTCAGCACAACCCAAATGAACAAACATGCTTATGTCATAGGTTTTTCAGATATTAGTGTCTGACCACTGTATTTTTGGACAAACTCAGGTTAAAATGCATGCTACTGTCATTGTGGCTACTGCTGGCTCTGTGAATTACACACCTGCACCTGATGTATAAAGACAAAATAATATTTTAAGGGAGGTTTGTACATTAAATTGCCTAAATATCCATATGGTATGTTATATTTTGCATAAATGTCCTGGTGTGTCACTGTTCATTACATGTGACAACTCTACCTGTCTCAAAAATACGGAGTTATATAAAACCTTTCTATGAAAAAGCCATATACGTACTCTTGTGCACCGTGCATCATAGTAAAATTCAAACATGATTTAATTAGTATGGCCATCAGTCAGAGTAGAGATCGTATAAGGTAAAGCACTGTAGCAAAGACATTATCTATGTGCTACATCAGCATTAAGAATTATTTTGTATCATCATAATATACAATTTTTTCTCCACATGTATGCCATCTGAGACTCTGGGAAACAGCCAGAAAAATCCATATTAACAGAATTTTACTAGCTTTAGGTTTTTAAAAGCTTTTGTGTTATTAAAAGCATTATAAACTGCCAGTTTGAAGAGCTAATGTTTACACTGTAGTATTAATAGAATTAGATTACTATAAGCAAATTTATTTTTAGCAGCAGCATTTAAAACTTGATTTCAAGATTAACAACACAGTTAAGTAACATGGTTGTTTTTGCAGTCTATCCTGTTTACATGGCTTAAGTTAAACTGGTTTGTAGAGAAGCCACACTCTTTAGCTAGATCAGGTGTGTCTTGTTTGGTAGAATGCATTAACAGTACAAGATGCTGCTGCTATGTCATCTGAAGGCTCTTTGATTGTGTTTAAAACCAAAAGATTTAAGTCAAAATGTGATATACTGTAAAGGGAATTTAGCTACTCCCGGTCAGTTACAAGAGTTAAAAGTCCTTATTCTTCTACTTTTGCACTGATACTGTGAACTTAGAAACCATTCAGTCATGCAATGAATGCAAAGCTTAAATTGTGCAAATAGTTGATGCAAAATAAAAAAAAAAATGCAAATAAAAAAAATAAAAAGATTTAAGTGATATTGTGATGTCTACAGTTCTTTTGATTTTTGTTTCTTCACCAAACACAATGGATTAGGCATGTAAAACAAGTGATCCTCAAAACTAATTTTTTTAAACAGTAATCATGATCAGGGACCTTGTGAGCTTCTTACAATGCAATTAGTTACTTTGATCATTAAATTGGTCAGATCATGTAAATGTAAAATGTAAAACCACTGAGACTTGCTTGTCTAATTAGTTGATCTTTCCGAGTACTGTAATTACCACTTACTGTAGATAGGACCTTGTATAGCAAAATTCCTAAACTGTCCATTATCATTAACTGTCCAACACATTATTTTACATTTTAAATTAAGCCAGTAACCTCAAGTAGTTAACCTTGGGTACAACCTAAAGAACTAAAACATGATTCAATGAAAAGAGCTACTCTCAGGCTGAGAAGGGAGGAGGGCTGATCAAGCTGTGGTTGGCAAACAACGTGAACAGTGGAGGCATGTAAATGTAGAGCCAAAGAGGACATGGGCAGGGTGAGATTTTTTATTCCATTTTCTTGTGATCTAGCGACAGGGATAAAATTTAAATTTGCCACTTTCTTTGGTTTATTACCAAATGTGCCTGTAAAACTACTGACATTTCCTTGTGTTTGTCATGGTAATACACTCTAATGTCAATATGCTGTTGTTGTTAGCAAAAGACAAGTCTTCAAACAACAATACCTTCTGTTGGGAAAATGGAAACTAGTTTATGAAATAATGTAATATGAGTTTAAGTATAGATTTTAAAACATGTCAAGTATTGTTCAGCATTTTGTAGATATGTGTGTTTACTGAGTGCTTTCCATCCTGTTTATGCCTAGTTTTTTTTTAAAATCTGCATCCAGATCTACTGTATATCTCCTTTAAAATATACAGTATAGTGTGATATGACATCGTGTTATGTGTGCCATATGTTTTCCCTCTAAGTAGCTGCAGTAGTTCATGAAAAAATAGTTTAAAAAAAGTAAAACATTTTTCATTATGCCATGTTAACAAATTCTTCAACAACTCCCTGGCTGTACATCTTGAATTAGTCACTTGTTTCCTAGTCTGTGACCTAACACTGTATCAGATTTCATGGAAATCTCTTCCCACATTTTTTGACAAACACAACCAAGAACAAGAAGACTGTATAGCCTTGGTGGAAATAGTACATGCTAATTCCACTATCTACATAAATTGCATAAACAAACATAATGACATTAGCATAAGCTCCTTTTTCTCTGTTGTTTTTTTCTATATCAAAACCACTTCTGACATTAACTGCTGCTGTAAATGTTTTGCTGGACGGGCACCATAAGGTGATGATCACTCTTACATTTGAACTCCTTGTAAAGTTCAGTTATAGTCACTAAAAACTGTTTCCAAATACAGTAAATGTCAGTACAGAGACTTGTACTACCAAAGTTGAATGTTCACTATTGCATACAAATTCCTAGTGCAGTTCACTGTTGAGACTTCCTTAGAAATCACCCTCTCTAGAGGTATGCTGTCAAAACAAAAAAAAACATGTCTGTATTTGTGGGAACTGTGCTATAATATTAGAATGGCACACTCTATGTTTGGTATGAATTAAACACTCACACCACACAGAAACAATGTTACTGATGTCACTGCAACAGTGATTTGTTAAAACACAGATGTTTTCTCCATCTACACTAAGTGGTATTCTGTTTTGAGTGACATTCCCTTTCATAGACTTCCCCTATAATTAAACTCGTCAAAGCATTGCAGCAATGAAACAATTAGTTATACAAGTGAATCTGAAGTATGAAAGACAGGAGCTGCAAACTAACACCACCACAGCAGGCATGTTAGTTGGGTCGATAACAAAACAGGTATCCAAAATGAAAGCTGGAAAGTCTCTGAGCAGATTACTACATGGCCAGTCTAGTAGTGAATGAAATAAACTGAACGACTGTGCAGATTAGATAAAGGGGCCTCAGGAGCATAGAAACTCGGACTGACGGCCCAAAGGCTGAACAGCTGAAGAACTGGAGAGAGGATGTGTGGACAGACAGACAGACGGACGGACAGACAGGCTGCTCAGTAGGCCGGCAGCATCATCCATAAGTCGAGCCACATTCTGAATATTGTTGAAAGACCTTAGTTGATTTTAAATGGTACTGTGAAGACTGAGTCCGGTATGCTCTGTTAGGGTTATGATAACAAATCAGTAAAACCAGATTCCTATTGGAAACTATGCATGAAGTGTTTCTAATCAACATGGAAAAGAAATACACACCAGATTTCAGTATTAGGGTGTCTGCAGTTGCCTCCCAAAAGTACACAGTAACTGCAATTTCTGGTATTTGTGGTATAAACCCGCTGTGACAAACAAACGGCTGAAGCATCTCTGTAAACGCAGTCTTGGGAAACAACACATACTGTACACACAACTGGGGTAAAGACAGCAAAATGGGGAATGGTTGTTTACTTTTACACTGACACTCCTAAGAACAAATCAGTGACTGGAAATATTTCAGACCACATCAATACAGTTTCCTAAAAATTATGCTCATACACAACTTATGCACTTTAACAAATATGTTTTGTAACACTCACACTGCCACTTAGACTGAGTTCATTTCTAACAAGATGTAATGAGAAAGCTGCCAAGGTATTTCATTTGTTTATGACATATGATTCAGTTCAGCTAAAATTATTTGGTTAAATATCATAGAAATAAAGGAAAGCTGACGAATGAGAATTTTTACAGTACTTAACCAAAAACTGACCAACACTTAACTTAAGCGCCTAGACCACAGCTTATGTCAATGGATGCCCTGTGGCCTCGTGAGCAGAATGAACGTAGACAGATCCCGTCCATGGATGGCACAGTGATGAGTCCTCAGAAAAATGAGCTGAGCGAAGGCCGGGAGCGCTCCCCTTTCCACTTACTGTATCTGGACTAGTAATTAAATTTTCCATGGACTGAACAAAGCTTTTGGGATGAAAATAAAACATAATTTTACAATCACGATGCAATTGTGGGTTCTCAATCACAAGTTTGGGGACACAGATTCTAGGAAATGTGACTCACCAGGGAAAATGCAAAACCATCTGGACCTAGAGTACTACCAAAAAGAGGGTTACAAAAAATGATAGCTTAGATATTGCCTAAAGCAGTACAACACATTATTTTTTTATTAGGTTATATATTCAAACATTTCAATGGTAGTCATAAAACGTGAATGAATGGAGGTGCAATTTCTGCCTTACTTTCCTAATGTGTCCAATTTTTATTGAGTCCTTTTTTTCCCTTAAAGGAATTTTTAGCTTTATTTTCAATATTAGGCATCTCCTTTACAGTCTGCTTCTCCTAATGTATCCTGTTTCTTCATTCAGTTTGATTAAATTTAAACAGCGCCTGCAAACCCACTGTCTCCACAACAGTGCTGAAATAGAGGCTGGTCTACTGTCGTCAGGAAGCTTCAACGGTTCAGACTGTTTAGTCTTTTGCTAATTCAAGGGCAGTGAGGGCTGGAGGCTTGTATGTTTTATTTGGTCCTGAAATAAGCCAAAATTAAAAAGGAGGCTTAAGAACATGCCACCTGTGCTGTAGGAAGGTTCCCAACAGCAAGTATCCTCTTTTCAGGTAGCTAAACAGCCAAATTTAGCTGTGCAATCTATGTGTGCTGCAGGCCAAAGTCTGCTACAGTACATACACACAGGCAGATATATAGCAGGAATAATCATGTGCAGGTGTGCCTCATTGTCCTGATGAGCTCCTGGCTTTCTCCTCCTTCCTCACCCCACTCACCGCAGCAGTCTCCCAGATTCTGTGTTCTGTATCTGCCAGTTTTGTGTAATTAAATGTTATTTTGTCAGCCAGACCACAAACATTTTAAACCCAACTTGCCACAACTTGCCATCAGTACCGTAGCCACTGCTGCATGCATTTAAAATGATCCACATTTCTGCAAATTCTGACCTAAAAAGATGAAAGCGGATGACTTCATCATTCTTGTATAACTTTTTACATTTTGTCCAGCTGTAATCAGTTTCACTAGCGCTTCTCCATGTTTGGTAGGTGCTAAGATTTGAGCTAGTGAAGCAAGACATATCCTATTACATGCTGCCAAGATACAGCAATGAGATCCTGCACCGCAAACACACTTATTTTCCAGCTGCAGAGAATTTCCTCACTAACCCACATGGCAAACATCGCTGTTAGATATTTGTCACTGTGCCATTAAATTACACTCATTTGGAATTCAAATATGTAGGAAAGACATCTTTGTAAATCTGCAAAACCGTGTTTGTTTTAACTTGCTTTGTGCTGTCTGGTTTTAGTAATTTAGACGTTACCTTTTGTGGTTGAATATGTGAGAGGACGCAAGATCCAGTGTGGTACATTTCTTGTGACATACTATTCTCCATATACAGTGCATGCATGCCTAGCAGTCACTTTAGTGTCAGCTGGGTGCTGAAAAAGAACAGCCAAGTAAAGTACTCAGTGTTCAGTTTTCTGGCATGGCTCTTTATTTATAAGGTTTATCTGGGCCTCACTGGAAAGAAGTCATTTAACTAAAAAAAAAAGTCAGCTTCTGCTCCCTTTCAACTCAAAACCATAAACCTGGTGACGTTATTAAGGAAAACAATCTGGCTGCTCGCAGTCACTGCAGCTACCATGCAAACTTGAACAGGAAATTCTGTTCTTCCTAATTAGGAGTGACAGATGCAAACAAGACAAAGTATTGATTTCAAGGTTGGCTGAGATGCTGGGACACAGGTACAGTCCAACACTAAACTGAAGCTGTATTTAATGTCTTGTTTCTGTTTTTCAGTACTTTTCCCTCTTCATTTCTTGAGTTTTGCATGTGCACACTGCTGCAGCACTAACATCCACAACATTAGTTAACTCAGGCCTTCATTGGCTACGAGGTTATGTGATTAACTACTGTATAATCAGATTTAAATGGTAATAATTGTCCCGTTTCCATTTATTTGACATTTTAATGATTAATTTAAATTCCATATTTGTGATTTATTAGTTATGAGACTGTTTGATGGTCTCTCTAATACTGTGTACAGTATAGAGAAGTGGTAAAAAGTAGAGCTGCAGGAATTAGCAAATGAATCAGTCAACAAAAAATTAATGAAAAATACATTTTGGTAATTAAAGATGTATTATTAGCAAATGAGTCAACACATGAATGTGACCCAAATCACAACCAGGGTGATACCTGACTGCTCTACAGTACTCTAAAATGAAAGGGTGAATACAGATTAATACAGAAACTGTACGGCTCCACCACTGTAAGAAGTCTACTGAAATAGATATTTATTAGTGCTGTACCACTATGCAAATTCCTATCCATCTACTCTAAAAATATAGTTTCTGCTTTTAATTGTTCGAGACTTAATGTGTTAAAGAGCATGTCTATTGCAGAGTCGCAGACAGCAGCATGAACATAATGTCCCATTTAGGCTACCCTAGTAACGGGACATAAAAAGGCATTATGAAATAAAAACAGACTTTTGAAAAATAGCACGCTGAAATAATAATGTCCATAATCACAATAAAACTAACCCCTAACAATTCTATTAAGTAAGAATGATGAAATACCATTTCAAAATAATGACATAAGTTTTAAAATTTCTTGAATGATTTCACAAATTGTCTGTGCAAGTATATATTGCACAAAGAAGCATAACTCAGTCTTGGCACTATTGATCTTCTAGAGATGCACAGCAACAGCAAATAAAACCGTTTACATCAGGAAAGGCTGAAGTGTTGGTAAGAGCTGATGGTTATTGCAGTCCCACAGATAAACACATAGAGCTTGGACCCCAGCCTGCCGTACCAAAGTCAGTGGTGTTAACCAACAAGCTATCCACCTGGTGTATGGACACATCTTTAGAACTTTTACTGCTCTCTGCTATTGGTTAATACAGCTTAGTAAATCATACTCATAAACCGATTTATAGTGCAGCCCTAATAAATATCTAGCAGTCAGGTATCACCCTGGTTGTGATTTTGGTCACATTCATATGTTGACTCATTTGCTAATAATACAGAAAGTATTTTTCCTGAGTGGTTGGCTTGGTTTAAATGGATTCAAAAGAATGGAGAGGCTGATAAATGTAGCAAATATTACATTTAAAAATTTTTTTTTTTTTACTGATTTAGTCTTTTAGGTGCGGTTTTGTCATTTTATTCCATGTCTTACTTTAATGAGCCTGGATAAAGTCTCATGTGAGAGGGTGTTATCCTGCTGGAGGAGCAGTGTGGGTCAGCCAAGCGCTGCGAGCTCTGGGGGAGGGGAGCAGGGGAGAGATATTTGAGATCCAGGGGTGGAGGGGTTCAAATGCAGCTGTGCTAAGTCCCACGTTTCGCGCTGGAAGTCCATGTGTCACAAGTGAATACCGTTATCTTCACACTCGCTTTTCATGGTCTGTGACTTCACTAGTAGCTGCAGTCGCAATTAAGCAACCACGCCTGTAGTTTTCTAATAACCCTGAATTGCTGTATTTTTACAACTCCTCCCTCAGGCAGAAATAGCTGTTTCAAGACCTGCACGGCCAGAAAACGCTATATTTACCAGAGGAGTTATTTTCTTAAATATCGCGAGAGCATTCTGACCCTCAGGAATAATCCTGATCACTGTTGTCTGGGAGGCAATAGTCCATACCGAACACTCTGTTCGGGAAAACGCACTACAACAGTAATGGAGTACCTCATGTTTAGTTTTGTTTTTGCATGTTGGATGAAGTTTGGAAATTCCGTCCTCTCTATTCATACACCTCACGCTCCTGCGCCTATTCCTAAAGGTAAGTACACTTTCGCCCTTCCTATTGTCGGTGGGTTACCAAGACCTCTAATAAAGCCATTGTACAGCCATAACGCACGGGGCTGGATTACATTTTTGTTGTTCCATGCTTGATCGCGCTGTTTAGTCACATTGATTGTGACTATATATTCCAGAGCTGTCGTGACAGTTACACAAACAGAGAAATCAGTCCTCGAAGATGTTCATTTCCATCACCATGTGAATTGTACTACATGAGGTGCAGGTTGCATGCCGGTGGATCCTTGAGTTTGGTTAACGCGACATAAGTTTGAAGCGTAAAACTGCCGGATTGCGCTTGACACAAAAGAACCGTATGCGGTTTCCCACAACCCTGTTTTTATGTCCTATTGCTTGGCTCAGCTTTTCATAGAAGCTGTAAAGTACCAGTGTGAGAATTAACCTGTTGGAGGCGAGTCTGCACAATTAGCCATGATTGGCTTTACATCGGAATGCGTAAAACCTCATTGGTGTTTCATTTTAATAGCAAATAAGCAATCTTATGCTTGACATACAGAGAAGCAGTTGTAAACCTGTTATAATTGATAGATCAGAGCCTAGCACCACCTGCTCTCAATGTTAACTGCTCAGCTGTTGAGACAAGCAATAAGGCATACAGTATGCTGCCTCAAGTACCCTCAATGTGTCACAATTTTATTCCCTTGTTTGAAAGCCCTTCCCCAGTTAACATGTTGCCTTGCTAAATTGCTCTAAATTACTCAAAATTTAATTTCAGTTAAAGATAGATCTTTTCATAGTCACTGTCTTATAAAACCCACAGTCATCTGAAGTGGATGCATATGTTTTAGGCTATGCTGGACTTATTTATCATCTACCTCAGGAAATCTGGTACTTTTCCAAGAATGCTTTTTGCTGAAGGAGGCAGCAAATATTCAGGGCACAACATCTGCCTTCACTCTCCACAGGCTTCTGTTGTCCCCTGATCTGGACTAACAAGGTGTCACACAGCACACACTTAGTAATAGCCCCTTCAGCCTTTACAAGGGCCAAAATGTTTGCTTGTAAAAAGTCTTAACAGCTTGGGAGGGTTCAGCTGTATTTACTGGGACCTAAACAGGTTCCCTTTTACTAGAGAAAGCCCCCACACATACACATGGAGACAGAGAGGCAGTTTTTAACACCTTGCTGTCTCAAATTCATTACTTGCTAATGCATTCAAAAATTGTTGGGGGGAATACTACAGCCTTGGGTCATAACATCAGAACAACACCTATTGCTGTGTGTTTACAGTGTGGAATAACAACTTGATGAGATCTTTTTCCCCTCCCAAGATCTCAAGCTGTTTTCTTCTCATTTCTTTTTCAGAGAAAGTATACAGAGGATTGTTGTGAAAACTTTTATGGCTTGTTAGAATCATGTTGAGTGTTAGTTGGATTAAGGCCTAAATAAGTTTATTTTAGAACAAAGTCAGATAATGTGCAATCCACCGTGTCCAAAATAACAATTTGTACCTAGTATTTAAGAGTGAGTTTCCTTTTACGTGTGGCAAGATGCGTCTGCGGTCGGGGACAGTGCCTCTGGACTGGCAGACCGGGGTGGTGGTCCGTCTTTTTAAGAAGGGGGACTGGAGGGTGAGTTCCAACTATAGTTGGATCACACTCCTCAGCCTCCCCGGGAAAGTCTATGCCAGGGTACTGGAGAGGAGAATTCGACCGATAGTCGAACCTCGGATTCAGGAGGAACAATGCGGTTTTCGTCCTGGCCGTGGAACACTGGACCAGCTCTATACCCTCTTCAGGGTGGCGGAGGGTTCATGGGAGTTTGCCCAA